AATTAATGATATTTATTCAAATCTTCTATAATTTTTTCAAACCCTAATCGAATGAACAAATTTAGCTTAATGAAGGTAGTAAGAAATTGTAAAAATTTCAAATGTTTATATATAACCTCATGCATTTTCATGATGCAGTACTATGTCTTTACTGCTTTGCGGATTCAAAGTTGAATACACTTCCAAAAAGTGTACAGATTATGCTTGACCAAATGAGAAGTTCTTTGAAGAGATATTATTAATTGATTAATTGTAGTCAATGAAAATTTATAGTGATAAGGAATTAATTAGTTCCTGCTATTGACATCAAAAAGAAGACTGAGATTCAAGATAATATGATTTTATCTGATTTAAAATGTTTTGTAGATATATAGAATGTTAAACTTTTAATTAGTAGATTTGCGGATTAGATGGCTAAACATGTAGTAAGATATAAATCTTCTTCACTAAGTCTTTACAAAAAAACTCTTTTTTTTGAAATTTATCAAAAAATTATAAAAACTACAAAATGGGATTAAAGTTATATATCAACTTAATAACAAATAATAAATTTAATTTAATGATAGCAAAATGGAAAGAATTGAGATTCCTTTTGCAATGCTCTACTCCCTTAATTGATTCCTAAAAAGATTAAAAGAATTTATAGTGAGGCGCAAATTATTGGAATTAGAGGTTAGACGATCGAAAATTTGCTAATGAGCCAAAAATTAAAAGAATGGGATTGACAAATTTATAAATTAACATCTTTCTGGAGTATTTTTATCATAATAAATAAATAACAATCCATACCTTTTTTTAAAAAATAGCCTAATTTACTATGCTCTTAGTTAAAAATTTCCAAATTTACCAAATTTGGTTGTACTTAGGGTTGAGATTAAGTATGAGGCCAGTAAATTTTTTTCAATATTATTTCAGTTTCTTGTTAGAGTAATTTACAATTCAAATAATGATTGAAAATAAATCCGATTCTTTAAGTTAATTTATAATCAATATTTCAGATCCAGCAAATGATTAGCTTTATTTGATTAATACTATTGATATAAATTATTAACACTGATTTGCTTGTTTTACAAAACCTTTAATTTATAAAAAATCAAGTCAAGTAAATTTCCAATCAGGAATCAGCTAAGAAGATCTAGAACATCTGTACCCCTTAAATAATGTTCTTTTTTACCCATACTGCTTAGCTAATGAGAAATGGAGAAATATTAATTTTTTAAGCTGATTTTATTCATAATTTAAATTATGTAAAGTTGAAGATTCAGATATTAATGTTAAAAATTGGTTCAACAACTTTAATAATTTGATCCATTGTATTTTGACAATTCTAGGATCAATAGGAGAAGTAACTTCACCTTTAATTTGTTACAACAGACCGCTTTTAAATTTCGTTCACAGCATGCAAATGTTTAAGTTTTTTTACAACATGGTGATTCATCTCATTCCTTTATATAAATTTGTTTTATTGATAGAATAATAAGGATAAGGATGACATTTTTTCTAAAATTGTTGTAAAATAAGTCTTTATTGGTGAATTTTCAAGTTAATTTCATTATAAAATATTTATGTTAGAATGTATATACACTGAAAATTTTCTTTACAGGATTTCAAAATTATTTTAATTGAAAGTAAGACATTCCATTGTAATTGATTATATTCAAATAATTTTTAAAGATAACTATATAAAATAGTTTCGACCTTATATAAGAAATTATTATTTTATTAGTTATTCTAATTTTAGTTTTTACCATCATAGAAATCAGAATTTATTCAAAAATTGTCAAAGAATTTGAATTCTATTTAATTTTTCTAATAATTTTTCTAAACCTTGAAACTTTTACTGAAAGTTAAAAGATATATTTAATTAATTAAGATTTTTATACACCATTAAATATGAAATTGAAAGTATACATAATTTATTGAGACTGTATAATTCTTATTGAAGAAAACATAAAACCTAGTTAAAAGTGTAAATGAACTGCTAACCTAAGAAAAATAAGTTTCTTTAAGTCACATCCATATAAAAGATTTTTGAAAATTGCAAACACATAAAGACAAATAAAGATTGTGGAAAGACCATAAAACATAAATTAGCAAGTCCATTATAACCTAAAATTAAAAAATTATTGTCTCTCTTGAAGCTTATTTTCATACAGTTGGTGGTAATTAAATCCTAATAAAGCTTATATGTTTTAAATTTATTTCTGGTTTGGTTAAGTCGATGATATAGAGTTTTTATTTGAATTAATTTAATGAATGAATGAAAACTTTTATAATATACATTTTTAATGTTATATAGAACAATTGGTGATTTCTGATTTTCTTCTAATTTCAATGAATTAATTAATGAGAAAATATGAGAAATACTTTTTATTTCTTTTTAAGTTAACAGAATATTAAAAATAACTAAATTACAAAAGATATTCCACATTGCTTGGCTATAGTTAAAAATATTTCTTCTCAAGTAACAAACTGTAATTAAGTTCTCATCTTTGGAAGAAAATTTACGCATAAAAAGTGATATCACAAACCTGAGATTATTGAATCGCTAACCCCTATTAAATGAAAGATATTCTTAAATTAAGAAGAAAATGTTTTGTGAATTTGTTGTTTAGGATAAGAGGTAAAAAATATTACAAGCATTTTAGTATTTGTATTAATACAAATTATTGAGTTTCGTATAATCTTGGTTGTGGTCGAAGGCAGCTTAATTTATTGAGCAAGACTTCTTAATTATTATTAGGTTTAATAACGAATGATTAAATCTATAGTATTAAGATTGTAGGGGAGAAAAATCATATAATTATGCGGCACAAATAGATAAATTTTGTATACTTGAAAGTTATATGATATATGGGAGTTCTTATTTAAAGAAATCATAGTAAGTAATACCATCCAATTAATTATTGAAAAAACTAGAAAATTAATTAGTTTACAAATAATAATATATTTTTAATTGCGATAAGCATTTTAAAAAAAGTTGACCCTCATCATTATAGCAGATCATTTAAAATACACTAATTATCCCTTTTCATAACTTAAACCGATAATAATTTAAAACTTTACCGTTATAACTTATTCATTGAATTTGTTAGAGAATTGTCATCGATAGTTGATCACTTCTTCGCTCTGAATAATAAAAATTATTACTCAAATTATCTCTCAATATATTAACTATCATGAAGACTAGAATAAAACACTCGTAAATTTTTAAATGTTGTTAATTCCTGAATTTCTGATGATTTATCCTAATCTGTAAATGATTCAAGTATTATATCAATTTTCCCAAGAACAATTTAGAGATTGTATTTATAGATAATTTAAAAATTATAATTTCCTAAATATATCGATTCATTAATATATTCTCGTCATTGAATGAAATTAATTATAATTAGGGTATCTATTAAAAAACATTCAATTAACTTAACCAAAAATTATAATTGGTATGTATTTGAAAATTTAATTTAATATATTGGTATGATGATTATTTTTCTGATTAATACTGTTTTTAATATTTAAAGCATTTTCTATTAATGCTATATTTTATTAAATATATAAAATTTCTTTTATATTTACTCTATTGATTTTAAATCTCCTTACAATTCTTTGGTTTTACTTTTTAGCTTTGATGAATATATAAGGAAATATAAGTTC